ACTATTGCTTGAAAGTTTACATTAATGTTAGTACATATTGAACCGTTACTACCAATTTCTTAGTATGTTTTCTGGTAGTAAAAATTTGAATGGTGAAACCACCCAAGTTTTCTCAAAAAGTTTTTTAAGTGTATCAGTTTCATTCTTATTTTCAGTTTACAACTTTGTTCTTGTTGCTACAAACATTTATGCATGTAATATGATACATTTTCATTTATACAAGCAATAAGATGCAAATTAACATGTTATCAACCCCAAAGTTCCTCAGTTCTACCAAATTTGTAGATCAGTGACGCCATAAATATCAAGAAATTATGGAAAAACAGGGCAACGCCTGGCCATGTTGGATGGTCACCGGTGACCAGGACATAGTCTGCAAACATTATCCACAGGGCTGCAACCAGAGATGCAAATGAGAAGACGAAACCAAGCATCAGCCATAATCGAGATCCTGAAAATGTTTCTCCTCTAAAACTGATCCAAATTCCTTAACTAAAATACATTATACTATATAACCGTCAAAATTAAGTAGTATTTTGTACACTACATAATTCTGTACAAATGACAGAAAAAGTTGCATCTTGCGGAAACTGTGTGTTAACTGATTATATACTGGATTCAAATCCTTATAAGTACTCAAAGCGACTCTGAGACTAAAACAATCGTTATGATTACCGTACTGTAAAAGCAACTTATAAAAGTAATTTGCAATAATAAGCTAAAAGTTTCACAGAGAAGTATATTGAAAAGTACAAACAAGGATAGAGAAAAGCCTAACCTTTAGTACCTAATATACTTTCGTTGAAAGACTCACCACGAATTTGACTATTTGAAACAGCGTTCACCCTGAAATACAAAAACAATGACAATGAAAGGAGATAAATTCGTGAATACCATTTTTAAATATGGACTTACATGAACATTGCGATGGTTCCACACACAGTAACTACGATGTAAACATTATTCCACTGACCAACAGGTGTATAAATTGCTGCTGTATCAATCATCAACCACCATCCCATAAAAAACTGAAACAAGCATAGTAATAAGGACAAAATTAAAGGTAATTATTTCTTTCACAAAACTGAGAAAAAAGTTATCACGAAAGCACCACCCACCCCTCAATTATGTTCACAACGATAGTTCCAATTTAGAAAAATCAGAAAGATAAACAGTGCAGCCATTCTAGACAAAAATCTACTTTAGCTCTTGATAAACATTACCAATGCAGATGAAATACAAGATGCGATAGCATTTCGCTTCAAATCCCAATTAATGTCACAACTGAATTGGTCCAAACAACCAGACATCGTTGCCTGTTGCAGCCAACCACGAATATATTCCTAACTTTTTATCGATATTTTTCACACTCGCACAACTGTAATTCACCCATAAATGAAAAATATTACAAATTCGAACTAATCCACATGGCCAGATTACACTCAAGCACACCTATTATGCAAACACTATTCTGGATATGGCTACATCTGGAGGCGGTCTTTATTCAACTTACCAATTCTGTTGACTGTTATGACTAAAATTCGAGTCATTTGCTTTGAATTAAAATTAGTTGTCGAAAAAAACGATCAAAATTATAAAACACACAACACAACAACACACTTGTTTATAGACGCTTTTCAAAGTTCAGTGACATAATTCGACCCGCTATATAAAACATGTACAGAAGCAAATATAAACAGATCACTAGCGAACAGAATTCTGACCATAAAGCCATGAGTTACATCTTACGAAAAACATAGATTTAGCCAAGTGTGAAAAATTATAAATTTGTACTTTCCAGAGGTGTTATGTTAACTTTATAGTAAATTAAAGGAATCCAGAACTTTTTAACACATAGAATATCACTGATTGCCGGAAAATTGCAGACAATTATTAAAAAACGTTAATTTGAAGAAAATATTAAAATTTTATGCCTAAAAAATCATTCATTAGAATTAAAATTGTTTTATTTAAGTTATATTTTTTAAATGGACAGTAATTTTCAAACACAAAAAAATAATTGAACATGAAGACAATATTTATTAGATATTTGCATTATTAATAATACTTTACATATCCTCACTCAACAGTTCTATTTACAAACTTTAATAAAAAAGTAATTCCTCGCACTTCTTTATAATTAGCCTTACTTATATATATATATATATATATAAGAGTAATCCGATTCATACTAAAAATTGTTTCACCAATGCTTTTCAGTTTTGTAGATATTAATTCAATGACTAGCTCTCTATTCTACAGCAACTCTTTTGAGACAGTAGATTAAAGATGGTTAGGAAGAATCAAACATAATCTGAACAAAAAACATTTCAATAAAAGGTTTCTTTCTAATTCTTCCGAAAAAATTTAAAAACTTTAAAGTTCACGGAAGCAAACAGATTTTTATTTTATGAGAGTGGGAATAAAAAAAAAGCCTGATAAATTTTAACGTTTGCATCCACTTCCAGTTCTACAGCAGTTATCATCACGAAAAGTATCTTCTAACAATTCCAAATTGAAATACTTTTTTGCATTATTTTGAAGACTCAGTGGTCCTGGTTGTGTTCTACTTGCATACTTGTGCTGTGATCTCCAAAGTTCTGCGTAATGACTGTTGGGTTTTGCAAGAAGTTCAAAATGAGATCCAGATTCAAACACCTGTAATTAATCTAACACTACTGAAAAAGAGAGGTAAAGTCTAACAGTTCAGCTCTTGAAACTGGGAACATGAAAAATTTTTTTAAATAGCGTTCTGGACGAATGAGATTTTATTGTAAATGACAGTCACTAATTGCTCACTGATAATATAAATCCTCAGCACAGAAGTCATAAACCTACAATGACCTAACAATAGTATTTGGTTATAATCTTAATAATTAAAAAATAACCTTGCCGTTTTTCAGTACATAAATGATATCAGCATCAACAATCGTTGCTAACCGATGTGCAATAAACAAAGATGTACGTTGATGTACAGCGTTGCCCAGAGACCTCATAATATTTTCTTCTGTTAAAGCATCTAGAGATGAAGTAGCTTCATCATACACTGCAAGTATTCCACATTTTCATTACAAAAGTTTCAAACTAGAGCAGTGAAAGAAGTAGAATTATAAAAGCCTAAATAAATGGTGTTAACTAACCAATAACAGGAGCATTTTTGAGCATTGCACGAGCAATAGCAACTCGTTGCTTTTCTCCTCCGCTTAATTTCAAACCTCTCTCACCAACAACAGTATCATACCCATCTTTAAACTGAATGACGGAATCATGCAAATTTGCTAGCTTTGATACTCTGTAAACCTGAAGTGTAGAATATTTATAGGTTGAAAAACCTGACATAAGGCACGTGTTCATGCTTTATTTCTCGACAAACTACCGAACCTCTTCTTTAGATGCAGCTGGATTGCCGTAATGTATATTGTAGAATATAGTGTCATGAAAAAGAACAGAATCCTGAAACCACAAATTTTGTAGAATTGATAACTCTTGGATATAATCAATATTTATGTCATGGTCATAACAAAGTGTAACCTGTGGCACAATAGCGATAGATTTTCGCAAACTTTCCAACTGAACATCACTAATTTTTTGATTGTTGATGTAGATTTCACCATCTTCTGGATCAAATAATCGATACAAAAGGCGAACAATTGTTGATTTTCCGCTCCCACTACCACCTACTATGGCTACCTGTAAAAACAAAATACACACATATGAAGATAGAAAATATAAAACCAAAAAAGAATTTAAAATAATTAGATCTTACCTTCTTACCAGAAGGAATATCTAAACTCAGTCCTTGCAGTACATGCTGTCCAGGATGATAACCAAATTTAACATTTTTAAATGACAAAGATGAATTAAAGACATCGATTTTCAACGATAGTGCATTTGGTTTTTCCTAAAATTTCGTTCAGCTAAAATTTGCATAATTATCGTACAAATGATTGAAATCAATATTTATTCTTTCCAATAATTTAGGAAATCAAAAAAAAAAATTCACTCTTGATATACACTTTAATGCTCAATTATTTTTATTAACATTACTTACAGTTATGTTACTCTTAAGATGAAAAAGAGAAAACATCAGCTGCATATCCACCAATCCTTGCTTTATTTCTCGATAAACCGATCCAAGAAAATTGAGTGGTATCGATAATTGGAATAATAATGTATTCGCAAGGACAATGTCACCAATATTCATCGTGCCTAAGACGTCTTTATTACTAAGAATTTATCTAAGCATCCTTCAATTCCCAACAACAAGAAACAACGTAATCCCAGTCTTTGAATATATTCGTCAGTGTGAAATTTAATAAACATTTATTAAAATATATGGATGTCCTTTTGTTACTATTTTAAACTGTAATATGTTTAACAAATAATCAAAGTTTTTAGCTTTTAGTCATACCAGAAAATAAAACTGATTGGCTTTCACCATATTTTTAGTGATACTGCTGAACAGAGAAAATTCTGAAGATTTAGTTGGAATGAAGAACCTTTTTGAACTTCAATTCCCGCAAGACACACCACAGCAACAAGACCACTACTAAAAATAGCATTTTGTACGAAATTCAACAATGCCAATGATGTACTCGTTTTTAGAGCTGCTAATTCATACTTCTTTAGGAAGAAATCATATCGCTCCGCTTCAAAATTCTCATTATTGAAATACTGAAATAATAAAACTGAGCCACAGTTTGTCAGAATATAAGATAAATTTTCCCCCATTTTTTAAATTGAAGTTTAAGAAGACTTCATATTTTTTCTTCATACATGTACCAACACTTCCCATGAATACTTACCTTTACAGTTTCATAATTAATCAGTGAATCAACTGCTCTATTGCCTGCATCATTATCAGCCTGATTCATCTGATGACGAAATTTAGTCCTCCATTTAGTTATTCCTAAGGTTGCAATAGTATATGTTGACAGACATCCTAAAGTTGCAAATGTGAATGAAGGGCCACAGTTCCAATACTGAAAAAATTTGTTAAACGAACTGAACCAATAAACATCACATGGCCTTAAGCAAATATTAGTTTTACCAGTAATCCTGACACCATGCCAACTTCAAACGCAGTTGGTACTACGTTAAAGACCAGAGCACTTTGTACAAATGCCATACCCCGAGTACCACGATCAATAGCTTTAGATAGGCCACCAGTTTGGCGACTTAAATGAAATGACAAATCTAATGAATGCAAATGAAGGAAAATTTGTCGAGCAATACTGCGAACACTATGATGAGCAACACGTGCAAATATTGCATTTCTAAGCTCATTAAATAATGCTGCACCACTACGCGTTGCTCCATCTGAAAAATTTTTAAAAATTAAAGAATTAGGAGTTTTTAGTTCAGAAAGAGATAACACAGTTCAGTCAAAATCATGCGTGATATTATACTGATTAAAATCCTGAAAAAAAAATCTTAATTTTACTAAACAAAACGGAATAAAAAAGATCGCATTTTAACTATACAGAAAACGATAAATTCCCATTTGATACAAAACATACAAGCCAAAATAATCGAAAATGCTGCCACTCCAAACAAAGACCCATGGCTTTTCACTTCGAGTTGAAAATCAGCTGGTACGCGTTCATTATAATAATTAATCACATTTTTTAATAAAAACGGTACGCACACGTTCATAACCTGGAAGTACGGAATAAAGGAACATACTTAAGCTTTCATGAGGCTAAATACTATAATAATAAAAATCTGAAGAAACTAGACCTCCAAATATCATAGAATCATTCAAAGAAATCCGAGATTTGATCGAAGTTAGAAAAAACGTTCAAAACTTCAGCTTTGCATAAAAACTCCCTTAAAAGCTTGAGCTACGAAGGGAAGTAAAAAAACAGGTCAGAAAATTTAGGAAAAAATTGAATGACTGAACAACTTGGAACACTTTAATAATGATTTCATTAAAAAATTACCTTAGCTAAAATAAGAAGCATCATTGAATAGATGCACAGTCTTCTAATACGCCAATTCTCTTTTGGCCAGACAGTTTTTAACATTATTTTGACTAATTCCTTGGTTGACACTCGCTTACCAAGAGAAAACTAAAATTGCCATTAAAAAAAAAAACTAAAATTTACAAAAATTAATTGTTGTAAATTTACAACTTTCTGGAAAATACTACAATTCAATGAAAATTCAGTTTAAATAAATCAGCAAGACCAGACGTGAAAATGAATTTAACACATGCACCTTCTGACACATTTACACATTTTCATTAAAATACCAAAACTAGAAGTTCATTTTCTTACCTATTTCATTACATTTAAGTAAAAAAAAGTTACGATAATTTACAGTCATTGGAGTTGGATTGCTTGAGCCTGGGTGAAAACAACTTCGGATTTGTTCAGAACTACGCTTCCATAATGATTTCTGTGACGTTTTCGGACTCCTTTTGAAAGCAAATGAAAAACTCCGCTGCAAATTCAATTAACATAAAACAATAGTATTGATTACACAAGAACGTCCCATCAACGAATCATTTTCTAGAAAAAAGTTAATATCAAGCTTACAAGAAAAATTTTCAGCTGTCGATTTGAGGAATGGGAGTGCTTTAACAGCAATGTGCGTATACTACAGTTCATCTCGCATTACCCAAAACTATTGAACTCAACGATGCAGTTACTTCTATTGCTCTGATTCAGCAGATGAGCCACACTGAAATCAATATCACGAAAACATTTAAACATTAATGAAGTTGTAAAGCAACATAATTAACAAGCTTAAAATACACAAGAAATGTTGCAAATTCCTAGGCAAGAAGTTATATAATGATTTGAAAATCAGAAAATATTTTCGTGCCAAAAAATTTTAAGATGAAAAACAAAATTTTTCGCTTCATATTTTGAAAATAATAGAACGAAAATAATCATCAAAAATTAAAATGCTCCTATTATTAACATGGAAAATTACTGTAATTATATAATTACAAAGTTCAAAGAATAGAAAGGAATATAATTTGTCTATTGTGCACACTTTTTAACTTAATAATGAAAATTTATCAATAGTTAGAAGTAAATGAAAGTATCCTAGGAGCAATGTCCTAACTATGTCAGCAAAACAAAACAATACAATAATTATCACTAATATTTTATTATTTGAGCAAAAGAAAATCCACCCAATGTTAACATTCACGTAAAAAACATGAGAAGGATCTTATATATTAATAACATCAGAATGTAAAGAAACTCTAACAGCACAAAAAATCACTTGAAAGCACAACATAAACTTATAATGAAGAGTAAATGCAAACAGCCACGCCCATTATATTCCGTGCCACCCACTTGTAGCGAAGCGTTCTGAAACTTTTTGCATTTTGATCAAATAAAAATAGCGTCTCAAATGATATTTGTCTAACTTACTAAGTCCTCCTCGATTATATTTTCACTAACTGTATTGACTAATTTGACAAGCGTCAAGTTCAATTTTTCTTTGCTAGTCTCTGCCTATCATACTCCTGCATTATTCTTCTTTTCACATATTTCTTAGTATGGATTAATTCGTTTTGCAAGCATCTTTTTGTCATATTTTGTTGCCTTTACTAGTATATTTTCATTATATCTTTTTTACTATAATTATTTTTCACATGACAAAGAATGAGAGGAGAAAAGAGACGTGGAATTTTCATTGCTCACTTTGCTTACTTGATTTTCTACCGCGTTTATGCGTGATTCGTGTAAAATTGCATAAATGACGCGATGTGAAATTAGGTTCTTTGGTAATGTACTATAGAAGTATATCACAATGAGATGTAGATATTTGTATATGGTACTACTTAATGCGTATTATGTAATGAGACAAGCAGAAATTGTAGATGTAAATCAACATGAGGGTCATTCGTTAAGATTCCTAAATTGACGTGACCTAAGCACTCAAATTAACACCGTTCAAAGCTTGATATTTTATACATGTGGTCTTGTAAATCTAGCTTAGGTATATGTATGTTTTCTGTGAGAATATTAAAACTATCACTCGTTTTGGACTTACGTGAAGATCATAGTTATAACATTAAGAGATTTTTTTTCGGGAACAAAATCTACAAGAGCTTTCATGTTTGGTTTTTGTGGAAATTCTATAAATTATGTACTATAGAAGTATATCAAAATGAAGATGTAGAGTACAGTTGTTATAGAAATTTTGAGTACGAGAGGCGAGGATGTAATGAGTGAGATTCCACATAAGTAGTATGTGCATCTTAATCATAAGAGTGCCTGTCAGTACAAACATTATCAAAGTTTCTGGAATGACAAATAAGAAAGTTAAGCTAGCTAGAGTTTTGCTGAGGTTGGAAAAATTAATGCAAATTATTGAGAAAACTATGAATGAGGGAATGTAAGTTCGAAGGGATGATAGAATTGTTATAATCTAGTTGTTAACTAATGATTATGATTTTAATGTCGAAAATTAGTTTGATTTGCTGTTATTGCTCTCAGAAAATTATGATGATCATTATTAAAGTTAAAAGATGTATCATGATTTTTGCACATAGACAGATGTGTGAACCTTGTACGTTATAAAAGTATTAGCCATGAAGTGTAACATCTAAAGCATTTGTATTTCAAAAATTTACAGGAAGAATTCTTTGCAATTTTTAGAATTAGTTGTAGAATATGTGAGATACGTTCCGTTAATGAAATATTTACAGCCTTAAAGTGTTACATTAGAATTGCTTCATTGTAGTGTATAGGTAAAAAAACTTAACCGTGTAGAGTCTATTAAAATATGACTAGTAGAAGAAGAGTGAAGGGGTAAAGACCGACGGACAAGACGGATAAGCGTAACCTTACTGTAGCAAGTGTAGATTTGGAGAGATTGTACTTAAAGGATGTCTGGACCGGAGGTTTTCATTGGGAGTAGAATAATGTTGCAAGTATCCCCTCTTTGAAATTACCTTTCCCCTCCGGATTACCTTACTGGGAAACTAATTGGCTTGTTTTACAGAGAAGAATTCAGGAGCATAGATTTTGGTCCGACATATTGAGTGTTTGATATCATGGTATGCATTTTTGTGTGAAATATATATTGCTTCATCATTTTGTCTTCTGGCGTGTTATATATCCTTTGTATGTACTTGACAGAAAGATGACTTCATAATATTTGTAGTCATACTATTTTTTCCAGATTTTAAACGGACAAAATTTGGATCTATGTGAGGTAGAAGCAAAAGAGGCAAAAAAATGTCCTCACATCAAAGTATGTATTTGCATTTTAATTACATAGTTGAGTAGTTATTGCTTGTCTTGAATTGTCAAAAATTCAAAGTCTTGAATTTTCGCATGGATCAGTATTTTCATTTGGTTTCGAATCATGTATTTTTTTAATTAAGGTCCTTTTCCTTTTAGATTGTCACTTTTTCACTGTTGCTTGTAGTAACAGTGTTCAGTATTAGTGTTTGAGGTAATAACAACCAGGATAAAGAGGAAAATTTGGATGACAGTTTTGGAGAAGATAGCATAGCGGTACGGTTAATTGAAGATTATTTGGAAGGCAAAGTAACGTCGTTGATCGACTTGAGTCAACTTTTAAAAGAAGAGGCAGGACTTGTAATTTCGAAGTCAACTCTTGCAAGAAGACTCAAAGGAAAGGTTAGTTATTTATTATGCTTATCAATAATTGATGACATACATACTCTTAGATTTGAAAAAGTATTTTATATCTTCATTCTTTTTTGTTAAGGTCAATGCGAAAGTGCGTCGCAAGCGAGGATATCAACAACGAAGAGCTGAGGAAGAGGAGTAAGTTATTTCAAATTTATAATTATTTCGATGTGTAATCTAAAAATGTCCGAAAAATCAGGTAGTCATGATACCAATTGTAATTTTTAGAAGATTTGAGATTTTTCAAATCGTGATAAGTGATAGGACAGAACGTCTTACTTTCATGTTCGGTATATAATTTCAGTATTGATGACCAAGAAGCATATACATATAGCTACTCGCTGTCGCGAAATTTGAATGAAACAATCGTGACAGTTCCAGTAGATGATGAATATGTGCGGCAGTATGCTTTAGTTCGAGTGGCAGGTGATGGGAGGAAGCGTTATTATCGTTGTAACCAATGCCTCAAGTTTCGTAAGGCGGATAAAAGTGCACCGCAAGCGTATCTCATTATGGAAAATGGTCGTATTGTTGGTACCAAGCATCATCGCCATCATCCTGATTGTAAACCAACTAGGCGAATTGAAGCGACCACAACTAGTTTGGATCGTGCGAATCGTAAGGACATACGTATTGGCCTCAAAACTCCGAAAGCTGCGTACGCTGAAGTGAGATATATAGCTTCTTATTAAAACAGTACTAAAATTACTAGTTATTTCAGCATCCTAACAAGAACACATCTCTCTGGGATCTTCGTAATATCATTTCATCTCTTCTAGAAGTGCTGGCACAATATAATTGACTAGGATTTCATGAATTACATGGCATTATCATCTCTAGCAAATGAGTACTGTTTGCTGCAAAAACATAAACATAGGTACTAAAAAATAATAATTTCCAGGGTTTCTATAGGGCAATTGATCTTGCCTGTACTGAAGGCTCTTCAACGAGTAACATACTGCCGAAAATTTATCCATCATGGAGTCGTGTACGCAAATCATACTTCCGTCAGAATCGTTTAGGTCGTATTGATCGAGCTAATAAAGGTTTCACATCCGATGGTACTGTTCGTTCTGGACAACATCCAAATGGAATGGACGACACTATGTTGTACTCGTATGGTGAGATTGGTGATGGTGACTTTGTAGTATTCGATAGTGAGGACATACCAGAAGGTTATGAACCTGTACCTGTTGAAGAACTTGAAGAAGCGGCTCGAAATGGTGTGCTTGATGATAGTTGGATAGTAAATGCTAAAGATGAAAACATGAAAGCTGATTTGCGTGGTGCATGGAGACCCATAGGGGTGAGACCTGATGTAGAACACAAAAATTTACATGGTTCTAGTCAAAATGAACAAAGATTTGAAGAATTTCAGTCTCAGCCACCTTTGAAAAAAGTTCGACTTGAAGATAACATGGATGAACATCAAGATTTCATTGAAACTGGAGAGTCTGGGAACGAAAACTCACCCATTCATGAATATGCTCATGATGGCACTGTATTAGATTTCACAGAATTCACAACTAAAGAAGAAAGACGTAGAATTTCACAAAATTTAGTGGAAGAACTCCGGTCAAGTTCTAACTTCAAACGTGTGAGGCCAGCGAGAGCATCAGCATCGGAATTAGACGAGGAATGCGATACTTGGTAAATGTAATTGTCACTTTTATTTCAAGTGCTTAATTGTGCTTATATGTTTTCAGATGAGTACTTTTGTTGCTTACAGGTGCTATATGCCATGCAATTCGGAAGGTGAGATCGTGGTTTATTCTTCAGATAAAGTTCATTTAATTGAAAATCTGGAAGGAGATTTGGAAATCGCTTTTGACCCTGATATGGAACTCGATGTAATCATTAAAAATTTGAAACCACATGGAGTTTTATCAACCGATTTTGTCTTGTAAAAATTCTTAGTATGGCTATCGAAACCACCGCATGTTTTCATTTGATGGCGTAGAACTTTACATCATTTATGCAACTTTCTTTGTACTTTGGGAAAGTTTGAAACGCCCCTTATAGCCTGTCTTGATGGATTATTTCTTTACTTTCATATTTTGTACTCAGAATTGACCGACCTTTGCAGTACGTCCTGTAAGAAACCTTTCGACCCCTTTCACTACCCAATCCTCTCACTCCTAATTTAAAAAGGAACACGCCGCATCTCTGATTTGATTAGTGTCCCATTACCTGTACTTTACATATTTCATATAATTAATTTTTGCTAGTGAGCGTCATTCCAGGAAATAAACTGACAGTGATCCCTTACACTGATATCCAAATAATTGCAGTCTAAGTAATCCATTGTTTTATTTCAAAATAAACGAAAATAACAACAGAAACACAAGAACAAATATTTTTGTCGTTACATGGCCATAAAAATTAAGAAAATAGAGAAAAGGTGAAATAATCAGTCACAATTAAATTTCTTTGACAATAAACGGAGAAGACCCAGATTTGGAACAAGAACAAAAGACAGGTGGTGCGGTATATAATTTACATGACTACTACATCTTCCGCATTGCCGACTTACCAGTACATACGGCAGTTCGATGCTGTTTTCAATGCAACAAAGTGAAGTAAAATTGAAACTGAATGGTCTGCGCATGCATTAAAAGGATGGGTTGGACTCGAGGATAAGGTTTGAGATTGACAACAATCTCACGTGCCTAAGATAATTCAGTTTATCTAAAATGTGATTAAGTCCCTTTCCAATCAAAAACATCTTAGATAAGCCGCACAACCCAGAAAATTCTAGAGAATAAAGGGAATTTATCAACTAATTCTAGACTTCTAATCGCTTGAAAGAAAAATTATCCACTCTATATTACTTTAGTCCAAACTTCTTCTTCGACAACCGATCAGCGGCCTTACGTTCACTATCCGAAAGCAAAACCATCTTAATTTTTTGCCGTGCATTAAAATTTGGCGTTGCCCCTTCGAAAATAGTTTCTCGCGTTACTCGTTTCTAAATAAAGAAGTTATAATCCACATAGCACCTCAACGAAATGACTAAGCCTAAAATTTATTTCATTAAACCTTGATTATCGTTGCAAACTTTTGATTTGGTTTCAAATTTTTTGTAACCTTCAAAAATTTATTTTTTGATTATCTATTTCGTTTTCGTTAGCCATCCTATACAAAAAAACAAATGCGATAAACAATGCTTCGCAAAATCTGAAAAATCCCAAGTTTGGGATGAAAACTAACTTCATTCCCTGACTTCACTTCAACAGTTAAATTTGGCATAGCAGCAATAGGGACAGATGAAAGGTCAGCTTTTCGTTCTGACTCTTTCTGAAGTGAAACTTTTACTTCATCAAATCGTTTTTGGTCGAGCTTTTTGTGAACCACAGTTTGCTCATCAGACTCCACAATTTTTGATGAAAGTCGTACATTCACACTAGAGGTTTTGCGCGCTAATAATAATGAATCTGTTTCATTTTGAATCGCTGAAGAAACTTGCTCAACTTCAGAATCTTTCTTAAACACAACAGATGTGTCGGCTGCGGGTTTGTGATCTATTTTAATAGGAGAATCACGCTGTTCATCCCGACTATCATTACTGTGTGTACGGGACCTTTTGTTATCACCACCAACACGATCAACCTATGAAATTTTATTCAAATAGTTTTTATATAAAAGAAATCGTGCATAAAATTTTGGAAAAGGAGTTTTGGAAAAAAAGACTGAAATGTAAAAACATACGTCATTCGCGCGTTTTTCACCACGCTCCTTACGTCGCATTTCTTTACTACAGTCGGTCTTATTTTTTTCCGTAGGTTCACTACGTTTAGACTCTTTTTCAACACCTCTGGACTTCCCTTTTCTGTCTCGCCTAAATCAAAATTCGCAGGTTGAGTGATAACAAAAAAAAACTGTGGACATCTATTTTGTCGAAAGATGATAACAAATATAAAGAAATCATTACATGAAAGTGAAAAGAATGAGATTACTGTTCACCTTTTGCTAGCGTACTTTTCACTTGTCTTGTCGCTCTTCCTTGATTTAATATTTTCTTTCCTCGAATCCTGATGTTCATCACTTTTTCTAGAGTCTCTTTCATCTTTCCTCGTTTTTGAACCTCGGCAATCTTCCTTATATGAATCATCTCTTCGACGATGCGAATCATGCTTGCGTTTCCTACTCTTTCCATGTCTATGTCGTTCTCCATCCTTTCGTTCATCGGTCTTAGCGGCAGATACATGGATATCAGCGCTTTTTGCATCGTTTTTATTCTCATTTTTGTTTCCACTTTCTGTAGCCTCTTTCGATTTCTTATCCCTAGGTGTTTTGTCTACAGACTTCTGCTCCAACACTTCGACAATAGCAGGCTTCACAATTACCTTATCTTTCTTTGCTTCATTAGCATCACTAGGTGGGATGTCACCGTCGTCTTCAATTTCATTACGTATTTCATGAGCTATTTCATTATGCTCTATGTCGAGCTTAGCTTCCATGAGGTTCATTCGCGCAGCTTCTCTCTCCTGTCGTCGTCTACGACGCTCTTCACGTCTCCTCTCCTTTTCACGTTTGCGTTCTTCTTTCTCTTCCTTACTTCGCTTGTGTCTTTTATGCTTCCTATGACTACCACCAGCACTATCGCCATCCTGCTCATCGTTATCACCATGTCGCCGATGTTTTCTCCTCTTTTTTTTGTGCTTTCTTCTTTCGTTCCTCTCCTCCTTGCTTTCCGTGATTTCCTCGCCTTCCACAACCACGTTTCCATTATTTTCAATCAACAGCTCCGTCTTTTCTTCTACTCCACCATTTTCATTCTCATTTTCATTTTCGGCTTCTGCCTCGGAACCATCATCCTGTTTGGTATGGAAACCACCTGACGTGGCACTTTCCACCATCATTTGATCAGGCAGAGCTTCATCCACAGTCTCGTTTTCCTTTTCCATATTATCTCCCCCGACCACCTCATCAAAGTTTCCACTTTCCAAATGTTCAGCACCTGTAGTTGCTGTTTTTTCTATCAACCCAGCTTCTTCATTCACGTATTTCTCCTCTTTCTTTGCAACATTTTCGGACTCAACACCTTCCGATTTACATTCTTTTTCCTGTCGTCGCCTATATTTCTCTCTCTGAAACAAATAGAAACCAACGTATAAGCAAGGAAAACTGCATTTTCTCCAAAACTAAAGATATAAAAGAACCTTCTGTCGTCGCTCTTCTCTATCACTGTCACATTTTGTTTTCCGTTCTCGATCCTCTCGATGCACTTTTTCATCATTATCTTTTGCTCGCTTTCGTTCCTCAATACGCTCTTTCCGCTCACCGTCTTCCTCCTTAGAGTCTGTTTTGCGACGATTCTGCGCGGTCGTCCTCAAAGCAATAAAATTCATAAATCCTTCAATATAACAGGACATATCTCAAATAATCTGTACCAAAACTAATTTAAGTGATAGAACACTACCTTGGAGTACGCCTTCTACCCCTTTCTTCCTGGTATGTTCTTGATGAACGATAATTTGGAACCGATCCAGTTGCACTAAAACTAGTATAAGCAGCTGTCTGATTTGTTTGAATCGAAGTGTACTGCGGAGTGAAATTATTAAGAAGCGATGGAATACGGTGATGAATGAGTGAAGATCCTGGCAACCCGAGAGCACTTGCTCCAGAAGGTGGATGCTGATAAAAATTAAAAGGCTGCGCTGCTGTATCTCTATGATAACGAATACTAGCATACGAATTGCGAAATGGCGATCGTGAACTAAAGGAATCTCTCTCAGATGACTTAGATTCGTTTTGCAATATCAAGTACAAATTGAAAAAGTAAAATATATGTGTATTAATGGCATAATTTAAAAGATAGATTTATGAAAAATACACACTCTCTTCTTCTAGAAGAATGTTTATCACGAACACTACTACGCCTTTTGTCACGGTGTGAGCGATCTCTAGAGAAAGATCTCGATCGCGATCTAGATGATGATTCACTGGAAGATTCCGAAGTCGAACTTTCACTTGAGTAGGACGTACTACGGGTAGAACGCCGACGTCGACGAGGAGCAACAGCTCGCTGCCTACTTTCCTGAAAAAATCATTTCTAAACAATAACGAAACATAAAATACGCTTAAAATATATCTTTTCAAAAAAATTAAATTCAAAAAAACAAATTATGTACAGTTCTCTCATAATACAACAAAAACTACCTTATCTTTCCGTTCTAAATATTCATCCCAAGCGTCTTTAATAGGATGAGCAGCAACACGTGGATAGAGCATTGAAGACAACCCTAAAATACAAGACACTGATAATTTTCGTGTTTGAATGAGCTACATATACTTTTGCTGTTCTATAACACATATCAAATAGGAAATCATACCAGGTGGCGGTGGCTGTACTCCTGGTGGAAGTAATGGTGGTGGTGCAGACATATGAATCACATTCATATTTCTAAAAAGAAGTGTGGTCAAACGATAACACCAAAATTTGAAGATATGACATAATTCTAATTCCAATTCATTTGAAAAACATGCTTATGTGCTACCTATGTGTTCCTGGCATAAGTGATTCTGTTGATGAACTTGCAATAGCATTAAGTGGCTGCGCTGGAGCAAGTATAGCTGGATAACCTGGAGGCGGCTGATGAACATTTACGGGCAAATGAAGAGAAAGTGGAGTGATGTTTAACTGCTGAACATTAGGTGTTTCAACAGTAGTTGTCGTAAGCTTTGGTATTACTGGTGGCATAGTCGATACGCTCGTCGGGAACTGTTTGGCAGCGATCTGAGGTTGTGCAACAGTAGAAACAATAGAACTCGTACTGGATGCGACAATGTAAGTTGGTGCTGACGATTGGACCTATAACAAAAAATCATTCACAAATCAATAAAAATGCATTCATGGAGAACTAATGTACTTCGTTACCATCTTTATGAATTGTACTTTACCATACCTCTCAACACTATTCTCGAAATTATTTGTCAAACTTTAATCTGAAGTACATCGAATAACTTCAAATAGAGGTGGTTTTCAAAGCATCAATGAAACTCATTAAGTATTTTTAATTTTAAATTGAACACCAATAAGAACAATAATCTTGTAACTTCATATTAATGTAATCATAATATTGAATTTCGAATTAAAAGAGTTACGTGATTTACGATCATATAACAACATGTAAACATGGAAATTAAATTACAATCTTTTTGCATATATAGCGGACCTGTGTAACTTCTTGTTGCTGTTGTGGCTGGTGAATGGCAAGAGAAGATTGTACTTGTTGTGGACGACCACTTAGTCCTATACGTACACGCGAAACTGTATGGGTCGGCTGATCCTCAGTACACGCTAAATTAGCTTATTCAACAATAACATTGAAAATTATTTTAAACTATTTATAGAACCAGAATCGTAAGAATGAAAACAAAACTCACTTATGTTTTCTGAAGATGCACTATGAACTGCACTGTTTTTGAAAGCTTCCACAGCTTGACGCATCTGAAACTTTTCAGTTCAACTCATAATGTACAAGGCATTTTTCAACACTAATTTTTTCAAATGTAACGTAAAATGTAAATTAAAGTTATAATAAACAAATTCAATTCAACCTTCAAGTTGGGGACTAATTTGTCTGCAGAAACAGCTGTTTGGAAACAGTTTGTTCCTGGACATTTAGCATTAGGAGTTTCAAGCAAACGATGTTGAAAACAATCTGCGCAAAAGCTATCACCGCAACAAGTCGTTAGAACAGCTTCACGTAAAAGCTGTGAACATATCGGACATTTTAGCTCTGGTGGTACCTCCCTAAAAGAATGTACTAAATATCACTGAAGAAATCTTAAACATGTTTCGCATACATTAATTAATATGCAACAAACATACTAAAATACGATTATTGTCATCTAATTTTATTTAAATTTGTCTCAAAAACACACAGAAATATTGAGTCCGGAGGATGTAATAATACATGGGACTTTTAATTACTTTTATTTTGAATTTGCTAAAATGAAAAGTGTAATTTTTCACTGCCCAATAACTTTAGAATATTTCCTCAATACGAACTGTATGATTAAAATGTCGAAATGAATAAACTAAATAGCTCAAAATTTATTACTTTCGTTAGAACGAAAGATGGACAATAATATCGATTTGGAAAGCTGATCAAATGCTAATAATGTTCAGTGCATAAGGCATGAATTCACAGATATTACTGTGCGATAAAGCTACCAACTAATGTAAAAACATTAAGGGGTACCGTATTTCAGGTTCGGGCTTGGCAACTTCAGGTTTCTTTTGGCGCGCCTTCCAGTGCATTATTGGTACAACATATTTACCCGATGGATGCAACATTGCTAACGGATCATCTGATGTTGTTTCCATCAATTCATTCATAGTTATTCCGGTTGTGCGACGTGTATTTAACTAGAAATGTGAAACGTAGTTTACTGTATGAATGAAATAAAGTAGTGAAAGGAAGATGACTTACCACTCATCCTGTACCTGAAATGATCACATGTAAAACCAGGAAGAGCGGGAATAACTAAAGAGATCCGTAATCTGAAAATATTTCGACGATTGGATTTAAAAAATTCTACCTCGCCTAGCAAGAAAATCACTTCAGGATTAATCTACGAACTAGAAACTCCAAAAATTTCAGGAACTGCCATATCCGAATAAAACTCGTTTCAATTTAAAACGTAAATTCAGCTTGAATTACACAAAACTTATATCTAAATCATTAGTTCCTTTTCATTAACATCGATTTATTTCCGATGTTCATTGCAATTGTATCCTAATATATGAAATTCAATCTTTTATTTTATAATAGCTAAACGAACATAAATTGAATGGAAATGTGAGGCAGCAGGTATGAAACAACATTAACATTTAGGTGGCAAAATGAAGTATTCGTAAACTGCGTGATCTCAATGTGTGAAATCATTTTATGCGACTCTAAACACACTTGCACTGCGCGTGTCCAATATGAACTGCAGCAGCTGAACGAGACTACAAGCTAACTAACTTAAGAGTGTAAAAATTTGAATACGGACATTTTTTCATACATAAAACAATCACACACATTTAAGTTTTGACAGTATCCATGTTGAGCACTTGGCCAACAGCTTACAGTTTAAAAAATAAAACAAAAAATATACAAATACAGAAATGATGGGATTCTTTACAGATATATCATACTATGACACATTACTAGGGGGTTGGTCTAAAATGTTTGATAAACAAAACATTCAAACTATTCTTAGGATCTCTCGAAGACTGTTCAAAGCATAAATTACAAAAATAACCAAAATTTTTAAAGTTAGAAAAAAACTTAAAGAGTAGAACTAATAACATAAATAAAGTATAGCGTTACCAAACTAGCTTCATGTTTCTTTCGTTCAATAACCCTTAATACCGTCATACAATTTTTATTACTAAATTCAGTAAGCTGTCTCCTCACCATTGTTAAAATATCCCACACAATATATAACCTTACTAAAGTAATTTTCTGCAAACTTTAAAAATATATTGATAATTACCGGCACATCACTACAATTTCTACAATATTTCTTTCCTTCAAATCTTTCATAATCACGATATCTTAAATTCAATTTAGCTGAGAATACTTCCTCACCTTTACCATATTGAAATATTTATGCTTGTAAAGATTAAAAGAAAAAACACGGAACATAATACAATTTGTCACTTTTAACGAAGAACAAGATTTGCTCAAATAATGCAGACACACTGAGATCAGTTAGATTTGAATTATAAATCACACAATGAAGATTATCGAAGCTAGCGAAAAAATACTCTAAGGTCGAGTTAATATTCATGTTCTAATGAAATCGAAATTTCAAAGTCGGAAAGCAAGAAACTCACTTCATGACACCAGATTATGAACTAATAACACACTTACACAATGATTATGTCTTTTAAAAACATTTACCTAAACAAGTCATCAACTTGTAATCTTAAAAGAGTCAACCTTTAATACCATTCAGTTTCAAAAACTAACAATTTCTGATTTCTTCATGATTTTACAAAGAAGCAAAAGTTGAGAAGATTGACACCAAGAAACATCAAATCATGGAAGGTAATAAATAACTCGTTAAAGTTGAAGTAAATTAAAAGTAATATAGTAATGTTAGAAAAGTTATCGAATAAAATGAAATTATATCATTTAAATCAGTAAACAAAAGTGAACATTGTAAAGTCGTGGTCTTTTTTCTTTTTTATTAAGTGAGATGACATAAAATGTAAATATACCGTTACCATTGGACAGTTTTTGTACCAATGTCCTGACTGTGAACATCGATTGCAAACGTATGTTGGAGGTGGAGGACCAGACATTATAGATGACGTTTTCTTTTGAAAGCTAGAATACACATCTTATCGATAAATCAAAGTCATAATCGACAGAAATATCTTTTTTTCTTTAGCAGAAATCATGCTTCAGTACTGAAGTATTTCACCCAATCAAAATGTTGAAGAAAATCGATCTTACTTTGAAAAGATGCAAAATCGATCTTGACACTCGTCTGTTAGACATGTAAATGTATTATTGGAATTCATCTCTTAAATTTTCAACGAAACATTTCGAATAGTTCAAAAAAATTTTTACATGTCTTTTTGGCCGAATGAACTGAAAGTTTTAATAAAAATCATCTGCTTACTTCGAAGGCAAAAATTTGTATGCAGATACTTCTTTTACATGAGCCATGCGTTCTTCTTCTGTCATTTTATCGAATTCTTCCTGAAAAAAAAACGAGTTGTTTCAGATGGTTAAAAACATAACAATTATTAAAAGTTCTCAGATTACTTACTGAGTCAATATGACCAACTACTGGAGTTTCAACTGGCACGTGTGAGACTACAATTCCAGAATTTGTAGTGTCTCTAAAAAAAAAAATTTAATATGAATATGGTGGTCATCACATGAATGATAGTATATTTCAATGTCTTGAAAATTTAAGCAACTTACTGTACTTTTGGCAATTTTACAGCGTTGTCTCGAGGAGTACGCTGTACTATTACTGATGAATTTCGAGGAATCAATTCATCCCCTGTGTACTGACGTTTGGTATGAGCATTTGTTAATATCAAGTCAAATGATTCTGCCTAAAAATATTATCTGCAAACTAAAATTTTCAGCAATATACGTTACAACTACGTGTTACCGACCCAAACATTGTTATTAACTATCTTCCAGTTAATGGTGAGATCCTGCCAAAAATATCATCTCATGTACTAATCATCCATTATCACGATAGGAAAAAAAATGAAACATACTATTTCTTAACAAGAAACGCTGAAGTAGCTAAGAATTTTTTAAAATTTTTGCATAAGTTCCTCAATTCAATAAAATATTTTAGGATTCAGTACCAATAAGAAATAAATGCAGTCATCTAAAAGCAGAACCCACTCACGAACTTGGATATTATTTACAAGCCTACCAATTTTGAAAATGAAACAAGTAGCTACACACAAAAACATTTTAAGTGTAACTGTTGAATTATCAGTCAATTTTAAAAAATAATCTACTCCTCTCAGATACTAAAATGTTTGAAATCTTTCGATAAGAGTGAGTAGTTCACCTTAATATTTTCTTTTTCGCATATTTCCTTCTTCAGATCCATAACTGATATATGCAAGCCATCAAATACTAGTGTTTTATATTCCAGTGTCGCTTTAAATTTATAATGTATTGACGACATTGACACTAAAAAACAACATAAATATATATTCCAAGAATAATTAGATCCTAAATACCACTATTCAATTTTTTAAACTAATTACTCAAGTGATGTGAACGTTAACTTAAATTTATAAGCATGTAAGATAAATTAAAATCAGCATTTTCAAAAACAAAGCACGATCAAAATTTGCAGAATCAAATTCAAACAAATCAACTTTATATTTTTGCAGACTCCATAATAACCATCATGCTAATGTAGCATTTAAATACTTGACTAAAAAAATTGAATTAAACTACAAAAAGGTATTAGAAAGTAATCGGTGACAAATAATGTAAAATACAAAAAATTTTCATAAAGAAATGAAATATAACAATAGCGAAATTGACCGAGTAATTACATTCTCAATTTAACACTTTAATATGTGCCAAAGTGAGGAGATAAAATATCTTCTGTGCAAACCAAATGGTGCTGAGACAATATGAGATTCAATGAATTTTAACTACTACTTTTGCATGTACACTTGGTGTAATCGATAAATATTACTACTGATTTGAAACTAATTCAGTACTTCAGAAAACAATACCTCTGAAATATTCCGAAATATTAATATTATTTCTTTGCTCCTATATTTTCAATCCTATATTATTTAATATTGCAGGAAAAAACAAAGCTAAAGCAAAATATTGAAATAACTAAAGAAGTAATACTCTCGACAAGTCAAGGTAAATTCTATCGCGAAATAATCCTAATCGGACACTAATCCCTATCCCTAGAAGTCACTACTACAACATTGCTTCCGATCTTGTCTCACTTGCCGCCATGGCCATCAATCGATTAATGTGACAACTTTTGCTAGGTAACATTGTGAAAATTTTTACAGATCATGCTAGCATTGCCGAGGAACATTGTGCATGTCATTACTTGTTCTGAAAAAGATTATTGTGATTAATGCGTGTTAATTAGTTTATTTTTATGTTTTTCGTTGTTTGATGATACTTGATCATCATAAAAGCGTCCTAGGCACTGATTTTTTTGCAGCAGTAATGATAATGTGTTATTGATTCGGAGTTATTGATATGAGCAAATTTCATGGTTCATTGCGTTGGTAATTCCGGTGTGTCCTAGTAATTTCAAAGTATTAGTAGTTATTTTATTATATTATTGGGCTGCATTTCTATTATATTCCAAATTTATTAGTGTATTACATTAATTCAATACTTTTGAAAATGAGGATTGTCTTAAAGTAGCTTACTCTAAAAAATTACTGCTAACACATTTGAAAAAGCACTGTTGCTGCGTACTTTCTCACACCAATACTTAACTTTTGTGATTAGCTTACAAGGATACATCAGAATGTGTGATGGGTTCCAGATATAAGATCTTCTCATAGAGCCATGCTAATTTTATAATATAAATATGATCTGCAGTAGGCTGAAGTAATTACACGACTTCACTGTTGCTTCAGCTGAGCTGTAAAAATTATTGTGATAATATAGCGCATTTCGCTCACAGTTTTTATTCATTCATTCAATAACGATTCTTTTTTTCCGTTTGTTGTGTTGTGCAAGCTCAGTTTTATCAATTATCAACATCTATTTATATCAGCATTCATGTTATTATTATCACTCACATTGATTGCATCTTCTCGTAATGCCACGTATTTATACTGTTTTATGACATGACGTATGGCTCAATTTCTGCCTTAAGATTTGATTTATTTTTTCATTGTTGATATCTTTCAGGTGCTTCTTATATAAGTCTTCAAGAAGTCAATATCATTGAACCAATTTGTACCAAACAGGTTTTTATCAAAAGATAGATTTTTTTAGAATGAATTTTAGAGAACAAGACTTTATAAATCTTAGATCTTTATAAACGATTTTATTGCTGTTTTCAAGATCGAAATTTAGAAGTTTTTATTATTTAACTCATTACCAGGATCGCGTCTTTAATTTCAGGATAACAAAAAATGATAACTGATGTGCAACTTGCAGTATTTTCAAATCTTATTGGAGTATCCATATTCGCATTGATAATACTTTTCCATTATGTTGCGGTTAATAACCCGAAGCGAAATAAAGAACATTGAAATGACTATGACGACATTATTACAAATTGATGAGGAAAGCTTGCGTAACAATTCAGTTTGCATCTTCTCTGGTCAGATCATATCGCAATTATTTTGTGATTATCCGTTTTTTTTCTTATGCGTTTGATTATTGACAATTTATGTAATCACGTGGTAATTTTATGTCTGGCATTCTGTTGTTTGTAAGGAAATTTATATAGCGCATTCTGATTATGGGGCATATTCATAACTGTACTTTTTTATTACTGTATTCATGTAGAAGAGATAAGTGAAATATATTTTATAGTAAACGAAGATTCAATTTCGATCACGCATCTGTTATTTCTGCACAGAACATAATCTTTCTTGGATTATATTACATTTGTGGTTGCTGTGATCACGAGAATTTTTCTACAATATTTGTTTTATTATAGAGCACATTTGGATTAATAAGAATATTCACATTCGTAAACAATGTTTTGAGAGTTAGAGCGATTTATTTTTCAAGTCAATTGAAAATTTATTTTTAATTCAGCAAAGTAATAATGTTGTATGAACAAGAAATAATGTAGACCTTTATTGTAAGATGCACCAAAATTATAGATTTGTGAAGCATACAATCATACGCTTGTGAAAAACTAGGCGCAAAGACCAAGTAAACGATGAGATCAACTAACAGATGAAATCTTTGGGAGGCGAATTAATTTTCACTATCTTTTTGCTTTTTTTTTATTCGGCAAAAGGAAGAACAACAAACATTTGCGCCCGTTTGAAATGTAGAATTCAAATTAGTACTTGCTTTTTTCATTTTTCCATCTTGATTTCGATCTTACGTGTGATAAGACAGTTAGTATATTAAGGACCCGTAAGTCCTCTGAGGTCATTTACAGTTCATGATGACTGTTCTGACCCGTAGCGTGATCAGCCAACAAGAGCACAGTATTATAAATATGCTTAAGTTGCTCTTTCATCTGAAAACTTGTGAATTTAGATAACTAATTGGCAATAAAAAGTGTAAAATTTATTAAATGAATTGAAAATATTTTGCATTGTCATTCTTTTGATTAATAACTTTTACAAGTAATTATTGGCTTATATGATTTTAAAATTAATTATGAAAGCTTACAGATTTATAAAAAAGACAATTGGCAGGATTTTCATCTTCGCCGCCGGGACAGTCCGTTACATCATCGCATAATTGTTCTGATGTTATGCAAACATCATAATGGTGTGAACTTCGAGTTGGGCAAAGCATTTGCTGATGTCCATGCCTCGAAGCACCACAACCTTAATTAAGTAATTGGCAAAAGTATTTGGGAAAATTTTTGTGGAAATATTTGATAATGATATGATAAGGTTAGATATATTGAACTGAAATAATGACTTTTGTTAGTTAAGTCTAACTCAGTTCTGAATCTTAGCAAATGCTATTTCAGGGCTAAATCAGATTCTTAAGTGTGCCCCGAAATTAAGTGCTCTACTAGATAATGTAATTCATATGATATAAAATATTTTTATTAAATCTTTATTAAAACTTGTTAGAATTCAAATGCGAATTGATGTCAGTGAATTTCAATAATTACTTTATATTAATTGAGTTAACTTTTAAAAAATCTTTTTAATCTACCAAATTTACTGAGCAGAAAGTTGTTACTTTACAAGCACGCAAATGTATATTTCGTTTTATTGGCTTCCGAGATTATCAAATTTTATCATTGCTAAGGAATTAATTTTAAAATCGTGAAAATTATTATTGGCCTTGAAAATTATTTGATAACATCAAATTTTTGCAATGTCAGTTGTGCTGAAGGTTAGTTGAAATATGTTCCTGTTGGATGGAATTTAAAATTTTACTGATTGGATGAAACTGATAAAGAATAAATGCATTATTTAATTGTGTGATATTCATTTTATTATTAACACTTTTTTTGATTTTAAAATTTGTGTACTGCATTGATCAGATCAGTTGGCTGCATAAATAGCAAGGCAGTGCACAATGATCAGAGAGTAATGAATACTAAGCATCAGTGAAAGTTACAGAGTTGTATAACATAAATATGCTATTTATTGCTCAAATTTTGATTCTGGATAAAATCTTTGTAAGTAGCACAAAATTTGTCAAAGTCAAAGCATACAAGTAAACTTATTAGTGTGATATTTTAAAACTTCAGTAAAATTAAAAGTAATAATCCGATTGATTGCGATTTGATTGCTACTTGTTGAGTTGGTTGAATCAATTGGATAAGTAACTGCAGTGATTAAAATGATTCATTTTGGTTCAACCATTCAAATTCTCTTTTCGAATTTTTTTATATTCCTTTCGCGTGTAATTAACAATTAGCAACTGGTATAATTAGAAACTTTAAAGGCCTTATTGAGTATGTTATGTATTCATTACATATTTGTGATTAATTAGATGAACCAAATTAACTGACGTAAGATTAGCTCAAATCATAATTAGTCAACAAATTTATGATTTTACAATTGATTGAGTTTTATTGTGATGAGATAAATGTTTTATAGCTCTTTTATATTAATTTTTAGTTCTCATAAAATATTATGCAAAATTTAAAGAATATTTTATTATTTTAGTCAAATTTCACTAGAAATGCAAATTTTCTTTGCTTAGTTCAATTACCTTTTTTTCTTTTACGTGTCCTGTAATGCCGTGACCTGTGGATGATAGTAGCTCGATCTGCTTGCATTAACCTTTCTTCCTCCTCGAAATCATCATCAAATTGATCTACATCCGCTTCATTCATCCTTCTAAAGGTTTGTCAGCATAAATTAGCACAGAGTAATTAATTTTTTTCGAGTTGAAAAATTTTTAAGCTGAATGCAAATTTTCATATAGTATAGAAATTTGATTCTTAAAAAATGTCAACTATGATGTTGTTAACAAAGCACTAATTTTATACAACAACTATGCATGGAAAAAAAATTGTATTCTTCATTTATTTGGTATTCAGAATAAAAATCGAAATACAATTGATCTAATTCAATTTTGATCTTTCTAATATTAATGAAAACTTCTAGATAACTGTGATAAGTAAGAACCTAATATCAGCCTTAACATTGAGTATTGCAGGGTCTGACGATGAATCGCCACGTCGTCCGTACAATGAATCTCGATGGAGATGACGCTGAAAAGTGTCATTTAATTTTTTGAAATGAGTGAAAAAAATGTCCGGATTTATTTAATTTACGATCATAACGTTTTGACTTCACTGTTTGAAAATTATTACAAATATTACAATTTATTACTCATTGTACTTTGTGAAAATTTGCATATTTTCAGATTTTATTTTGAAACTGTTTGTAAAATATGCTCAAAAAATAAAAACTGAAAATGACAACTTTACTATCTGATTACTAAAGGTTATGAGGGGTTAATTTGCAACTTGCTTTTATCATTCAAGTTAAATTTCAGTATTTCAAGTAGTAATTCGTTTAGTTTTGTGTGACAAAAATTATTTAGTACAATTTTATTGAAAATAAACTATTGTTATTATGCTTAAATATAATAAAAGAAGTAAGTTGGCTATAGAAATGATAGCTATAAACAATATAATTTCAGTAATGTATTCACAATGCCGAAAATTTTAAAAAAACAAAGAATATTTACATTCTAATGATAAATAAATGAATGTTTGTATAGTATAATAACTGTTTAAAAAATGTGCTAACTTTTGATAAATTTGTTAAAAAAAATTTAATTATAAAAAGTGTAAGACAAAAACTGTGCAAATCTAAAATTATATACAGAAATTATTGATAATGTTGGAAATTATTGAAGATGAATTGAAGTTTATCTTAGATAAATTGGTGTATTAAGTAATTGAATGAAATTTGTTAATCTTTGCCAGTGCACGAGGATAAACACGTACTTTGAGGCTCATCTTAAACAACATATTAATCTTAAAATATTGCGCTTGACGTGAATATTTTTTATCTGCGCAGAAGTCTGAAGAAATAGCAAGCACTGAAATTATTTCTTGAGGGCAAAAATCTGATACAATTATCAAATATAATCATGTTTAATCCAGATTTTTTTTGGCATTAGTATTTATCGCATACATATTATTATAACATAATTTGCAATATTGCTTTTTATATTCACAGTTATTCAAGTTACAGTGATTTTTTATCGACATCCATTTATTATTATAATACAATATGAATGTTATATATTTTACTTTATTTCCTATATTCAGCATATTTACTTCTATACTTTTACTTGTCATCAAAATTAAAATTTACGGCTCAAATAGTTATTTCACCTTTCTGTGCTATCAGTGGCGTTTTTCTCACTTTCAATTTTTTCTCACTTTTAAATTGATTACATTTGTAAACTTCTTTGAAAATAAAACAACTGATTGTATGGTTACTTAAGACAAGAAGAAATTTATAATTTATGACTTCAATTAATGTGCTATAAAATACATAAATTTCGCACATATTTCATACTAAATTTTAAAATTTTCACGTAGATGAACAGAAGTAAATTTAATACTTTACGTGCGTCATGTATAATTTTCAATTTTGCACGTTTTTTACGCAAAAATTTCATCTATCAAATTTTTGTAATTCATCATTGAAGTCTTTTACTTTGTTTGTTTTTCAAGTAAAATTTTTTTGCAAAGAAAAACCGCAGAATATTTTATTGTTTAAAAATTTTCACAGATTTGAATTTATTGAATGGAAATAAATTAGTTAATTAATTAATAGTTAAAATGAAGCTCTTTATACGAATTGTGTGCTTTAATCAGATGGACTCAGTGCGCTGTTCTCATAGCTATTAATATTCAAATAATTATTTGATTATAATTTGACTGCTTGAAAAACGGGTTGATAATTTTTAATTTCAATTACTAATTCAAATATTAAGTATAATATCAACTGCAATTCACATTTAAATAACTCTATACTGTGCTGCAATTGCCATTACAACTTTATGACTAAAGTTATGAAGCAAAACACACATGTGCACTGATATTAAATTAATATCTTAAATCAGTTTCAGATTCCTTTAACAGAAATAAAATAGCGCAAATCTTATTCCTTCTCGTATTTAATTGAAACTAGAAATTGGATTTGTTTGTACTAAAATAATTTTGATGAAGGCTATACTCAATTTGTATTCTCGTTTCAGTTAAATGCTGCAAGGATTAATTGGAAAAGTTTTCACTAATCTGAGGTGGATTTAGCTTGCAACTTCATCTCATCCAAATATATTCAATAATTAATGTGTGATTGATTAAGTAAATGAAAAAAATTAGAGATTTCAATGTAATTTCAATATAATCCGTTATATCATTCATAAAATTGAATTTATTCAGTATTGTTGATGACTAAGACATATTTCAAATTGACTAATCGCATGTTTTCATTATTAATATTTATTTATTTATTATTATTATTTTTATTACTATTATTATTATTATTATTGTTATTATTAATATTATTATATATGCTTTAATAACAATCCCGTTTTAAAATTAATACAATTTGAATTAAAAATATTAAACAGAAAGAATTTGAAAGATAGGATGGGAACAGGGAGCCAATGTACCGTCCCTACTTTTATTTGGGCCATTCTTGCACATTTTATGCTATCAATCAACTGATTCTTTCAGTGATAAAACCAAAATTTTGTTTTCAGTACAAAAATAAATAATTTAATAAATAAATCAGTTTTTACGCCAGCGTATGCTATTTTTTAAAAATTTGAAAAGATGACAGAAAAGGACTAAAGTAATAAATACTTTAAGACTAAAGTATAGAAAAGTATTAAAGTTTTCTATCAGTTCGCCTTTACTATTCAAAAGCAAATTTGAGTTTTGGTTTGCAGTCAGATCAAAATAGTTTTCTGATTCTATAATTAATTGGAGCAATTTATTAACTTAATATAATGTATAAATTGCTTTTTATGAAAATTAATCTGACATTTTGAATTTTTCTGAAGAATATATTTGTTTAAAAAATATTAATTACTTTGTAAAATTTTCAAAATATAAAAACGATTTTACAGTATTTACCGTATTACCATAGAGGGATTCTGCGCTTTTCACCTTTACTTTCATATTATAAAAGAGCAGAAAGGCTGAATTCAGCTTAAATCTTTTTTTGGCTCGTCAAAACATTGAAAAAACTATTATAGTTATCTATCAAACCTGTGAAGACGACAAGCGCAAAGTTGTACCGGCCACTGAATTGCCCACAGCATGTCGTAATACTGCAATTGATCTGAAAATGGCAAATCAGTATAAAACTTTATTGAAAAATTTATAAGAAATATTAAAAAATATATTAAAATGGCAAAAAGTACAAATATCCTTTAAAAAAAACGCAATCATCACAAATTACACTTGGTTTTAGTCACAAATGAAATTATAACCGACAACCTAACTGAGTACTTGCTAGAAGTATTACTTGTTTGAAACTAATACTGAGTATAAATAATTGAGTCTCTTATTATATCCATTGCAAATTATTGAGCATTAATAAATATTCAATTAGCATATAGCATACCACCATCATATAAGCTCTTAGTTAGGCTTACAGTGATATTGCAATGGTTTCATGGGCCTTATCAACCATTAATATTACAATATTACCTGACTGATTTAACTATTCGCAAGCAATTTGAATGCTTTTGTATGCATCACAGCATTAAATTATTTATAAAGTCGTAATAGGTAACAAATTAGAGCTATTTTGAATCCCAGAAAAACTATAAGTGAAATAAGTTTGAACTGATTTTAACTTGGATTTATTCTAAACATATTTGAATTTGATTAATTTGATTAAAAATTGTGCAAATAATACCAGAGTATTCATTTCATGCAGTGCAAAAAAACCAAATTTCAAAAAGTATGTCTTATATTAATATCACTATACCAAATACTTGTTAATTTAGGCATGTGTTAATCTATTATTTCAACCAATTTTAAATTAGCTTTGTAATTTGCTTACCAATTCATTTGAACTAATATCAAACTAATATGATCAAAACAAGTGGAAATAATGTTGCAGTAAAACTGACTATTATATAAAAATATCTATTATGATGATTTCAAAATAATAAATGTATTATTACAATCTCAACATCAGTGATAATGAGATAATAACAATAATAATATTGATAATAATGATCGTTAATAATAATAATAATAATAATAATAATAATAATAATAATAATAATATAAATAATAATAATAATAATAATAATAATAATAATAATAATAATAATAATAATACATTATGTGATAATGAGATGATAACAATAATAATATTGATAATAATGATCTTTAATAATAATAATAATAATAAATTACAAAAAACAAGCTTTAAAAACTTGAGAATTTTTAAAATTTTAAAGCTTTAAAAAGTTTGTTTTTCAAAGAGTTTTGATAGCAAAAATTTGCATAAAGCAATGATATAAGAGTAAGAGAGTAATGAATAACGAACCTTCGCAAGTTGTCCAAATCACTGGATATGATTGGTTTTGATTTAAGCAGCGCAGCACCATCAACAAGCATATCAATGACTGCTTGATACTTGGCCAAGTCTCGAGAACAAATACCAGTCAGCAAGATGAAGATTGTAAGAATAATTGTACGCAGGCATTGAACCCGCATTGGGTTTAGTTTATCGCTATCATATACAGTTTTTGTTTTCCTTTTCTTCTTCTGATTTGTTTAGATTGATTTTAAATCGTTGTTGTTTTTCTTGTCAAAATTTGCTTACAGTAATATTATAGTACAGTAATGTATTTATTTTCAGATTTAATTACTTTTACAGTTTCTTTAAATCTTTGAATCACAATTCTGAGCAAATAATTTACCGTAATTTAGTGTAAATATCCGTTGAATCTTTTGCTTATTTCCGTAATGATAACCAAAGATACGCATACATATACGCCAAGTTTATGATCGAAATCTGAGCAGAAATTAGGCAGTCGAATGAAATGTTATTCATAATATTATGTAAAAATTTTTCTTAAAAAAAATCAGTTTAAAATAGCAATTGAAAAAGAAAAAGCACAAACAATTTATAGAACACATTGATTTGATTTTTCAAAATTCTTCTCAACTGTATAAGTAAATGCTTTGATAAATGTAATAATCGAAAACAAGAATAAAAGAATGAGAGTAAATGTGAACTGGCACTGATAAAGGAGAGCAAATATGATAGATATGGCTGCATTTAAAGAAAAATTTTTGTACGACATTTAGAAAGTAACTGTAAGAGTATGCAAATGTAAAATTAATTACTGAAAATACTAAAAATGCTTGAAAAATTTGTTTTTACTTTTGTATTTTAACACACAAAATATTAATAAAGTATACAAAGTGCAATTTAATACAAATATTAATAATCAAATTTAGAAAGTTATCAAGTATAAGTTAACGCTTTGTAAATGATAAATTTCTGTACAGTTATTTTTCAAAAACGATGATGAGGACAAAAATAATATAAATAAAAAAAGTATGAATGAAAACAATAAAAAAATTTAATAAGAATAATAATATTATTATTATTAAATTAATAATAACAATAATAATAACAATAAATAACTACTGTAGTTAATAGATGAATAAACATGAATGAATGAATGAATGAATGAATGAATGAATGAATAAGCCAAGTAATAATAGCACAGGAAGAAAAGACAAGAATGGAAGACTTAGAAAGTAATCTTTCGACGTGATCTTTTGCGTTTGCGCTTGCGCCCAAACTTGTCTAAAATATAAATTTTTAGTTTTGACAGTTCAAAAAGCATTCTTTCCCTCCCACAGAGTTTGTCTTTCTTATGTTCTGCTAACTTTTATCATAGCAAGTCATCAAAAAGGCTGTCCTCTCCTCTGTTCACACTTTCAATTATGAACCAATTTTAACAAATATTCTT